TTTCTAGAAAGATAACAGATGACAAAGGAAACTGTATTCAGACAGCTATATCCTTTAACTATGGATCTGCAAGCTTGAAGAGATGGAAGGTTGACGCACGCAAGCGAAATTGTCCGAAAACATAACAGCCTGTAAGAGGCTAAACCTTGAACAAGCGTATGTTTTGCATCGAAAATAGCCAAATGAGACAATGTAAGCGTAGAAATTATGACAAAGTGAGCTGTTTGTTGCATTTCTTACACTAGAAAACGAAAAAATAAAACAAAGGTTGTCTTCCAAAGATCATCGGTCTACCCCAATCAAATGTGTCCCACTGTCAAATAAGTAGCTTTATTAGATCTACATTTGAAAACTAATCAAAAAGATAACCTCCTGTGCAAGTGTAGCTTCTCAACTACTACACAGGAAAGGTAACAAAAGATTCAATCTTTCTTTCTTTTTTGATGTGCTCAGAGTAACATTGAAGTGGATTCCTAATATTCATTACATTCACATCAAACTCACTGATTTTTTCACTGTTTTGGGATTTAGCCGCAGTACCCCACCTTCCATTCAACGGATCATAGTCTGCGATACTGCCTACGGCTCGCTGCTGATGCGGCTGCGCTGAAACTCATGATTGCTACTGCAACTGAGAGAACATAAGAAACGTGAAATTCAAGAGGCAATCTTCACACTCCAACGAGTGTAGATAAATACGTATAAAATCATACAAAATGTTCTAATACTCTCACATGCGAACATATTCGGTTAAAACGGAGATAAACATATGCACCATAAATTCACATGCCTGCGGCTAAGTTATCAGATGAGTAGACTAACGTCGAGAGGTTTCCAAGCGGTGAGGCATTAGGCATTTCGACGTTCGTATTGATGAAATCATTGCTTGGTAGAGGAGAGCAAACAACTCTGCCAAGTCCTGCAAGAAGAAGCGCATGCATACTATACTAATTTGGGTTATACAGGTTACACAGAAATCAGTTAAGATAAGAAAAAGTCTAAGAAATAATAACTGGCACACATAAAGGAACAAGATAAGTCTTATTGCACATCTCTTACAGGACGCATTGCCAGTCTAGGTGTTCCATGGAATGGAGTGGCAAGCATGAAATCCCGACTTTTTGGCCAACTCTTCAACTAATGCGCAGAGCTGCGTTACGATGACACACAAGCAATCCTTTAAGGAAGAGCAATGATGAGGCTATTGTGAAGAGCGTTCTCAAGTACCGCGACTCATACGCGTCAGCGGCCGCGCCGCCACATATCCGTAATTTGTTAGAAAATTGTTACTCTTTTGACTCCAAAATAACACTATATCAGCTTTTGCAATTCTAGAATCCATGTTCACTTTCCTTGTGTTATGCTATTTGCCTTCCCCTATGAACAAGTACTTCACATTCTTTTTGCAGCTGAGTATAATTATGATAAAATGATGAATAACTTCGTAGCATAAGATAATTTAGCATGAAATGAGCGCAACAAGCCCTCACTGAAAAAGGAATCCATTTTTTGGTTCTTTTAAATTCATCTTGCAAACTAAGCGGAGAAGGGGAGAAAAGGCGGAAGGCAAGAAACCCCCAAATAGTTTTTCCCCTTCCACTTGCTTTCCAGCATTCGTTTTTGATTCATAATCAGAGTTCTTCCCTGATCCTGCGTAGACGTTACAGGAGTTGGGAGGATGAGGTGGTTATGAACGAGCGTCTTCAAATTTGTTGTTTCGGTCTTACAGCCTCCTTCAGGAGCGACTGTAAACAGCAAGCGGCTATGCCGCAAACTTCTCCGAAACCTCAACAGATATTTCTTCGTAAACCTGAGCTTAGTCACAGTGCACTCTCAATCTTGGTCCATTGCTAAAACAGCTACACTTGAAATTTCCGGAATGCAAAGATTCAGAAACAGTCGAACGTGGACAGTGCACCTGATTGCAAATGGTACGGTAAAAGCGATGCGAAGCGACGTTACCTCAAAGGGCGCTACAGAGCCTCGTCACGGGCTGATTAAGTCATTGTCTTCCCGCAATAAATAGTTGCAACATGATAAACCCATTTCGTTTCTGTATGTATAATGATGCATGACAGATGTAAAAAAAGCTAGGTAAAGATTTAGTGATTGCTGACTCACTGATAAGAGGTACTTTCGCGACATTAGTGATGTTTACTGAGGAAATAACTTTGCAATTTTACACCCGCACACTCAAGCCGTACCAGTCACAAAATTTTTTAGAAGGTAAATGTGATCCGAAACGTCGTCAGGTTTCATTATTGTTTTTCTTCTAAATGAATGAGCCGTACGCTAACAACATTGCTTGTATATGGGAAGATGTGTCGTAAAAGTAAGCTAAATGCTTCTCACTCTGACATATTGGTACTTAGAAACCGCTGACGCCAAATATACCACGTTGCCGCCTCAGCATCATAACTTATACTGCATTACGTTAAGCCAAAATCTGCCAAGGCCCCTTGAAATCCAAAAGAGATACTTCAGGTATTGTAAATTTGTAAATGGAAATTATTTCTTATGTGTGGCTAACAGACATTTTGACAGGATTCTAATCGTTTGTGTCCCTGTGCTTACTGTTAAACTATATTTAATGTAAAACACTTCACATGATAGAACACTTTATAAGCGCGCAACGTGGCAATTTGAGCACCGAATAAATCATGAGCAAACGTTGGTCAATAAATGCGCAAAAAATAGCATATGAAATTGACTAGAGCATGTTAAAAACCGAAAAAATAGGTAAAGCTATAAGGAAGCCAACTAAACGACTACACGTGTAACCACAATTGAGGCTAACAAAGGAAGCAGCGAAAAAGCGTAGTTAGCGAGAACTGTGAAGACGCCGTTGATAGAGTCATTTCTTTAGTTTCTTTGTTGTAGCAGTAGTCTTAGTTGCTGCAGGCTTAGCTGATGCAGGTTTAGCTGATGCAGGATTAGGTGATGTAGGCTTAGGCGCAGAGGGCTCAGTATCGCTTGCTTGAACTGGTGGTGTCTTTGCTTTGCCTAAACATACGAGACCGTTGATGTCCATGAATTTGATCTCAGTTCTCCCAGGTTAAGCCTGGTCTAGAAGAGGGAACTTAGTTAAGTCAAATTGGAATCACACTCGAAGCACGAGTTAGACTAATATAAAGAAGAGAGGTGATAGGCGATAGATGGCACATAAGAGACACGTGATACGAAAGATAGTCATCAGACATAAAGGGTACAACAATAAGTTTAGAAACCTTACCAGAATCTTCGGCCTGTACTAAATTCGGGCGCACTTCTTCCATTTTCTTCCGCTTATCTAGCTCCCCAGTGTAAGCAACTTGTGACTGAGCCTGAAAAGATAGCCTTGAGGTTGGAAAATAAAAAAAAAAAATCCCAACTAAGAA